GGAGAAATTGTGCCCTTAGTGTTAACAATGTGCCTTTTGTTCTGAATGCCATGTTGTAGGGCATGCATTTTTTGGCCTCTTTAACTCTTTGAATGCTAGGCAGTAAGGATGGAACCCACCTCTGCAAAGATACATCTGTCTTAACTATCTAGTTACAGGCCTTAATAGAAACCATAAGGCATGAATCATCATTGGGTGTTGAACAAGATAACCATTGGCTAGTTACACAGGGAATCCCTGTGTTTAAGGGGTTAAAGATGTCCTTTGTTGTATCTTAACATCAGACTGATTTTTTAAAGGATATTTTTTTTGTTATGCTAACACTAGACAAAAATCAACTGTATTTGTAAAAATTTACCTCAAACCATTTAATTTTATAGTGTGATTAATCCCAGGGCATTTGGTATGAACCAAAGTGCATTCCTTTTATATGTGCCTGGCTCTAGTAAGGATGGCCAGGGATTTTTACAATATGGGTGCAAGGCACTTAAGCCACTTTTAAACTTAATGGGTGGTTTGGAGTCATGTTAAATGACTCCATCAGAATGTTAGAAAACACTTTAGGCATCAGTAGCATTGGGCCATATTGGAATCTTCAAATACAAGTGTGAATTATTTTAAAGAGAGCATTCATTTTTGTAATTTTTTTCATCAAAAATATTTCTGGTAAGCAGAAGACTTTTTAAAAATCTGATTTGGTTGGTAAAGGTTTTAATATTGCCCAACATAATGCTGTGGTAGCATTTAAAAAACAAGTATTTGTGAACTCTTTCTTTCTTAGGGGCTTGTACATCTCTCTGCTATGGACATATATAAAATTAATTGTAATTATACTCAGCTCAACTGCTACAGTTATGTCTAGGCAGTGGCTTGGGTTTTTATCGAGCAACAACTTAGACACGTGACTGTAATATGCTGCAACTGTGTGTACTGAAAATATGTGAAAATGGTTGAATGTGGACTGTGTATATATGTATGTAAAAATTTCTGTGAGATGCTGCTGTCGCCACTTAACATGAAATATGTTCTAGTGGATTTTAATCCTAGTGGCCAGTTCTATGATACTGTATGTATTGTACAGCTGATGACAGGAGTAAGACTGTTTAGTGAATATTTGTTAAATTTTATTGTTGTGGCCAGAGATAATTTCAGAATAAAATTTTAATGTCCTACCTTACTTTTCTCCCCTTTTCTAACTATAATTTAACTCCTGATCTATTGCTGGTATCATTCTTGGTCTGCTAGTCTGGAGAGAGTTTAGAATGTTAAACAGATAGTTCTATATCAGTGACTTGAGAAGTTAAAATAGTCCATTCTACTGGTTTGTTCATTGGCAATAATTATTAGTTTAATTTAGATGTGCAGACTTCAAGTAAGAGAGATTAAATATTTAATAGGCAGTTCTTGGTATTCTCAGAATATTCTATTTTTTTACTTTCAATGTTTTTATGTTACTCTTTTACATGGTATTAACCATATTCTACCATGCTAGAGCCTCAGATCTTTTTTTTTTTTTTTTTTTTCTTTTTTCTTTTTTTTTTTTTTTTTTTTTTTAATGCTCCAGAGTGGCAGTTGAGCTATGGGGACAGAGTCTGTCCATTCTTCCCCAACAATCCTCATAATTTCCTACACACAATATCTGGTAAATTATTAGTATGTGCTCTCTCCTGCTCCACCCCATGCTTTTTAATGTGAATTTGTTTGCAGTTTTTGTACTTGGTGTTCTCTGTAGTTCACATTTTGGGGTTTTAGTGTCTCTTGTCATGACTGGGTCAGAACTAAAGCCTGTGAACTACAACTGGCTCATGGAGTGTCAAGTTCAGTTAACACCAAGCTAAGAGTTTACTCACAGATGACAGCAAGCAGATGTTCTGGTAATTTGTCAGACATTGCAGGGATATTATGTAGACAAATATTTCCCTCATGTGGAAAGAACTACCTCACATTTGTATTTACATCCCTCCTGCCACCAGCAGCTGAGGAATTACTTGGTGTGTTTTCCTGCATCAGTAATGGGATTTGCTCAAACAAGGGAATAGTGTGAGAGATCCTCAGCCCAGGTTTTGTCTTATTATAAACTATGCTATAAATTTTCTTTTTTTTTTTTTGCCTATTTTGCCTTTCAAATTTCATGTCCAATGCAAAAAAACAAAACAAAAAAATAAACAAACCCAATTAACCAGACAACCTAAAGCAAAACAATACAATTAGAGATAAAAAATTTAAGAGATAAGCATTACATATAAAGTTGGAAGTTAGTACTAAAGCAGCAATTGTTTTCAAATATATTGTCCATATCTGACCCAGGGGAGATGATAGTTCCCACTTTTATTCAAATCTTTCAGAGCTTTTTCTGAAATTGATAAATGTTATATTCTTTTGAATCTCTATAATCACTTCCCTTTTGGAATCAATAGATATACAAATAAATATTTTTGGAAATTTAAAATTGCCAGCACTGGAGCATGCTCCTAGCTGAGGTTGAGTCTTTTAAAAAGGGCAAGTAGGTTTGATTACCTTTTTTTTGAAAGAAAATTAAGAGGAATCTGAAGAAAGGTTATTTGTAGCATTGTTTCAATGTTTTAAGTTTGAATTACATTGAATTTCCTTTGGGCCATTAGGCAAATAAACACTTAGGGATACTTAATGTGGTTCCAAATGGAAAGTGTGTCACACACGTGGGAGAACTGCATCTTCCTGCAAAGTCGTTGCTTTGTGTCCTTGGTTTGACTCTCTTTGCTATGGTCACATTCTTAATATCTGTGGTGTATTTCATATATGGGAGAAAAATAGAATTGCCATTTCCTTGCATCTTGAGAAGGTTTAGTGAGGAAGCTAATGAGTAGATATTTACTTTTCTGAAGAAAGCTGACATTTTAGGAGTATTAACTCTACATCGAAGATAAGAAGCAGCAAGGATGTGTTATAACCAGATCACATGTTCCAGAGAGCACTGCTCCTCAGGAAAGAAAGTGCCACAGATCTCATGGTGTCCTGTGAACCTCAATTCATCCTCACATGTTCCTTTGAGCTATTATTATCCTCACTTGATATTTGAAGGAACTGAAGTCACTAGCTTCAAAGTGACTTTGTAAAAAACTACAAAGTTTGGGGTCCAGGTTTTAATCAGGTAATTTTGGTCTTGGACATTAAAGGAAAATTCCATGTTACACAGAAAAATTTAGAAGGTAAAAGGGAATTTGTGCTAGCAATGGGTAGAAACTACCAAAAGAAAAAAAAAAAAAAGAAAAGAAAGAGGATTACAGCATCTTTTTTCTCTTCAGGGGCACCCAGTAATGTTAAATGCACTTGCACACACCCTTGGTATATTTGTAGAAGAGTAACGGACATTGCCATTTAAGGGGAGATAATTATTGTAGATGACTCTTTATTTTCTGTGTTCTTAAAATGTTTTTTAAAAAATATTTGAGTGTATGAAAATATTTTTTGACACTACTAATTCTCAGGGATTAAAAGTTAAATTTTTACTGACTGTAGCAGTAGGTGAATCTTACATTCAGACTTACTCAGGTTTCCTATCATATGCCTCTATATTTAAGAAAATATAGAATGCCTTCCAGGGAAATATATAAAAATAAAAATTTCAGATACAATTTTAAAATACCAAATTGTAAATAAACCAGTTTTACAAACTAAAATATTGTGTCTTTCCTTGCGTTATATTCCAAATTATTTCACCTCCTGAGTTTGAGGACTTTTAAATATCAAGGCTGTTTCTTCATTTGCACAAATGAAGTGTGCTGTTTGTTAACCCAAGCCCAGAAATAGGCCCAGATATCACTTAAGTAAAAGATTATTGAATTGTTTTTAGTTGCTTGGGGGGAAATGTAATGAGTTATAAGCAATTTATGTAGATGGTCAGTAAATTTAAGTGTAAATTTGGGCTAATTTGTCATCCTTTACTTGAGAAGAATATAGTCCTTAATTTTCCCTTTCTTTAGAATTCAATTCATTGGAATTTTGGCTTTGGTAGGCTTAAATTGAAAAATAGAGAAATTCAAGTAATAGAACTGTATTAACATCTATTGCAGATGTCATTAATTTGCCAAATATTTATTTAATTCTTAGTATATGCCAAGTTCTGTTATAGGCACTAGGAATACATAATGGTGAACAAAACAGACATGGTTCTTGTCTTTAGGGAGTTTTTAGGTTGGTTGGGAAGGCAGGTATTACATAAATCATTATATGAACAAACACATAATTGCAGATATAATAAGTGCTGTGAAGGAAAAGCACGTGGTGTTGAGTGTACACAGTGACAGAGATGGTTGTGTGGTTCCTGGGTAGCTTCCCTGGGATATAGCTTTTGAGTGGAAGAAGGAAGAGCAGGCAGCTAGGGGAAGCTAGGTGAGCAACTGAAGTATGAAATGCAACTGATAGGTAGTTGAGCACCGGCCATGAGAGGCCCTATTAAAGATTTTGGCCTTTGTCCTATGTGCAAGGCAGCAAACAAGGGATTTTAAGGAGAAAAAAAAAATTCTGTTAGTCACTTGGCTCTCCTTGGCTGTTTTTAGTAGATCATACCAAGAAGAATGAATAGAAGAAAAAAGGACATTTAGAAGTGTTGGCAAGAAATGGCAGATTGGACCATAGAGGTAAAATAGATATTTAAAGAAGTTATATTTGAGGGCATTTTAGGAGGCAGAAATATAAGGTAATAACAGAGGTGTTTCTTTGTGTATGAAAAGTAGCTTTAGCTATTTCTCATTTGCTACATTGCATGGGAGGGAATTGCAGTATCCAATTCATTTGAGGAAGGAAAGAGTTGAAAATCAATGTCTTTGGCAACAGTGTAAAGTACTGGTAAATTATCTCCTGATAAATGGTTGAAGCCTTTGAATAAAATCTTATTAATTCATTCAAAAAATATATATATTTTTAAGATTTTAAGAAAATCTTAAAAAGTGATTGGGAAAAAGGGAGGAAGGGAGGGAGGATCATAGAGGATGAAATTCTCCAAAGTAGCAGTCCCCTTTGCTAGGTTACCTGTCTCTCCCTCTTTCCTCCTCCTTTCCTTCCGTGGAAATTAAACGTCTCAGGCATGATATACTGTAGTCTAGTTCCCTCTCATCTGCAGGGAACGAATTTAAAAAATAGTGGATATTTGAAATCATGGATAGTACTGATATGTATATATGCGTGTGTATATATACACACACACACAAACATGTCATGTTTTTACATACCTATGGTAAAAGTTTATAAATTAGATACATTAAGAAATTAACAATGGCAAAAATAAAAAAGAATGATTTAGTGTAATAAAATGGCCAGGATCACTGGTCTTATACTTTGTGGCCATTATTAAGTAAAATAAGTGTTACTTGAACACAGAGACTGTGTGATTCTGTGACAGTAAAAGATGAAATGGTTCCTAAGTGTCTAATGGATGGGTAGTATATACAGAATGTACACACTGCAAAAAGGGTTGCTTAATGTATCAGGTGGGACAGAGTGAGATTTCTTCACTCAGAATGGTGTGCAATTTAAAATTTATGGATTTTTCATTTCTGAAAATTTCCACTTAATATAATTTTCAGAAAATGGTTGACCGCAGGTAACTGAAGCCATTGGAAAGAGAAAACGTCAGGTAAGGGGATACTACTTTATTTGGATTTGATGGGTTTGGTATACCAAAACAAAAACCAATAAGAAAAGGAAAAGGGGGGAAAAAGAGAAGTAGGTTCCTCCCCTTGAAGACTTTATATTTAATTGGGAAGTCAAGATTAGGCAAAATTAGAAAATATCAAACAATTGGAGAACAACAACGAAAAACGATAGCATTCAGAGTAGTAAAAGTCATTTGTGTTGTTACTGGGTAAGGATAGCTTCAAGGAGATGTATTTTCAGCCAGGTCTCAATTCGAATGCATAAAAGAGAAAAAGGATATTCAGGGAGAATTGTTTTCATTTGAGGTGTATGTGTATCATTCATTCATCTGGTCACCAATATTTGACTTATGTGTATAATTTTGGCATAATGTGAGGCAGAGTGAAGGGATGGAAAGTACTTCACTTGGAAAGGTAGGGCTTGTCATTGTGTGGTTTCCTCAAAAGTGCTTGATTGTCCCAGCCATTTCACACATGCCGTCGTCTCCTCTAGAAAGACTTTCTCCGTGGCTGCCTCATCCTATGGAACTCAGCTCAGACCAGACGTGGATTCCCTCCACAGAGCCCTCCTTCGCTTAAGATTGGGCTAGGTGGCCATTACCAAGAGCTAGCATTGGCCTCTGTTTCCCTGCACCTGGGAAGAATTTATGCTAACCAGCTGCGAGGTGAGTAGAACTGAGTGGAGTAAAGCAGCGGGACCCTCTCCACTGCTTCCCTTTGGACACAAATTGGCAGACAAAAAACAAATGTCTGGAGAGACCATTTTAGTCTGGAAGGTGGATTCTGAACAGGTAAACATGAAAAATGTCAGCTATGAATTGTGAGATGTGCAGGGAAGAGGGAATGTTGTGAGAAAGGATAAAGAACTTGGAGGAGGGAGAAGCCCACTCTTCTGGTAGAGCGAGTGTTTTGAAGTGTTTTGAGTGATATTCTGAAGGGTGTGGATGCTCAGAGGCCTAGGGAAGAGCAATCCAGAGTCTGGGCTCTAACACCTGACTGAGCCTGGTCATCTGGAGCTTGGTGAGCCAGGGATGGGCAGTGTAAAATGTGGAGGGGAGAAAAGCAAGCATGGATAGGCCAAATAGACCTGGTGAGGGACTGGTGATGGGTTCTGATTACACCAGAGGCCACGGATGCATTTAAAGTAGATTTTTAAAACATATATCCTGTTTTTCTGTGGAGAAAAACTAGATAGGAGTCAAGTGGAAATGGTGACACCTCATGAAACAGAGGAGTCCCAACTGACTGGGCAAAGTAAGGGAGAGAGAATTTAATAAGAATATAGGTGGTACCAGACCAGGGATTCTGCTTAGGGAGTGAGGAGAAGTGGGTTAAGTTGGTGCAGGACATGTTCCTTCACTGTGACCATATACACGTGAAGATTTTTATTAAAGCCTTGAAGGTTTTTAACTGTTAAATTTGGGAAGACCATTTGCCTACTAAACCTCAAGGTTCACAGTTGCAGTTGAATTAATCCATTAAGGACATTTTTAAAAGTAAGACACTTAGATAAAAAGTAGACAAAGGCATGTTCCAAAATTATACATCAGAAACAAACCAAAAAAATAAATAAATAAAACTGAATCAGAGCAACATAAATTAAAGCAATATGTTTATTTTTAACCCATGAAGTATCAACAATTAATGGAACAGTGATGCTCGATGCTCACAAGCATGTGGTGGCACCAAAGGCTCATTTGCTGCTGCTGGGGTATAATTAGTGGAAGCTTTCCAGAGGGCACCTTGGCAGCCTGCACTGTCGGTTCTAGGAGGGTTCATTTGCTTTTATACTACTTCAAGAACACATACCAGAAACAATCTGTGGTATAAACAAAATCCGTGTACAAAATAACCATACAGCACAAATTTGAAGAAACACTTGTATCCATCGACAAAGGATTGCTCAAGTTTATACACACATTGTAATATTAAGTAACAACAACAACAACACATCCAGAAAACAAAACAAAATTCCTGCAAACACTCATACACACCAACACAAACACAAAGACCCAAAACTGAACGTCTTCCCTGTCGTAACAGGAAGAAGCAAAGAGATGACACCAGAAAAACAATGAGGAGGAAATACTCCAATGTTTCAACAGGTAGTTGATTTTAATTTTCTTACATATTTCCATCGATTGTCACAATGAGTGTTCACATTTTAATAATATTTTTCAAAATCTAATATATCAAAAGTAAAAGGAAAGATACATGGAAGGAAAGGAATAAAACTAAAAGATTTTAATGCAGCAGGGGAGCAGAACATTTTAGTACAGGGAGGGAGCTCATTCTTGTCCTGCTGAACCATGCCGAAAGGATGCACCTCTTATGCACTGTCTCACCTCCAGTTTCAGCCACCTGAAATACTGTTTGGCCTGCGTAACTCCAACAGTCTTTAGATCTCCGGTAGCCAGTGCTTCCTCTGCTCTACGTGTTTCCCACCTCACAGCCTTCCTCAGACCTTATTGTTCCTGCTATGGTCTTTGATGATCATCCCAACACCCACTTTCATAGGCCATAAGCCTCCCGGTCAGGCTGGGTTAATTGTTAATCCAAGATTCCAAGAAGGCAAAATATTCTCTTTATGGCCTCATATGCTATACTTAGGACCTCAATAAAAATTTGCAAGTGTGTGAATGGAGCGCTTGGAGAGGGTCCAAGAGTTGTGTACAAAGGAAGCCATCATTGCTTTTATATCAGTATAGCTAACCCGTGTAGTCTTCAACATCTGTAGGTGTGTATGTATCTTCAGTGGGATAGGAGAAAGACCAAAATGTATTTTCTTTCATCTTAAGAATCTCCTTTCTTCTACACTTTGGAGTGACATCAGAATGGTAGTCAATTCTGAGTAAAAATCCATTAACAGGCCCTTGGCTATCACTAAGAGTGGCCTAGCACTGACGGCAAGGTAGAAGGGATCTGCAGTTGTTTTCATATTTCAGATACCCACTGTCTCCTTTCAGGCTTGGAATCCGCAGGTTTCCTACTGCAGGGCTAATAATTTCCTCTTGACAACAGTAAGACCTTTTACCAAGATGGCCACATTCTTGTGTGTCTTGATCCAGATGATGAACAATGGGCTGATTAACTCAGTGACCTTCAGGAATGATAAAAAGAGAATATAAAGATCAGAGATTTTTCCAGTTTGGGAGATCAGCTTTTCTCTGGACTTGCTTAAGACACACTCCTTTATAACAAACAATGCATTGCACTTTCTTACCTCTTTCATGTGTCACGCTATCTTGAAATGTGAATTTTAAAACCTGATATCACATGCTTGACCCATAAGCCCCTGACCACATTCTGCTCATCATACACCATTTAGTAGTGTTCAAATGAACCTTAGGATCCAAGAGTCACTTCAGTGTTGCAACTGTCATGGCCCCATGGCTTAGAAAGCCTGGCATCTTGGCCACTTCCACCTTTTACTCTTGAGTAAATGCTCCTATTGATCTTCCCCGAACCAATGGCAGAGAAAAGGTTTGATTCTCTGTTTGGAAATGGTCTAAGCTTCTATTATCACCATTTTGGGAAAAATGAAAAAAAAAAAAAAAAGCCAGAGTGCAACTCTGAGCTCAGTCTCACCATTGTTCCCCCATTGGAACTCAGAAGTATATCACTACCATGGGTCTAAAATTCAAAGTACAGCATTGCAACAGACAGAGCAATTGCAATGCCTCTGTCCAAATGCCCATGTCCTAATCCCCAGAACCTGTAAATATGTTAGGTTACCTAGGTTATATGGACCACATTATATCCTCCTCAATTCCGGGTATTGAAGCCCTAAAGCCCAGAGTGACTAGTTTAGAGTTAATAGCCTTCATAGTAAAGGTGGTGCTCCAATCCTATAGCACTGGTATCCTTATAAGAAGAGGAAACATCAAAGCATGTGCACATATAGCACAAGCCATATGAGGACACAGCAAGAATGTAGGTGTTTACAACTAAGGAAACAAACCTCACCTGAAACAACCTCTGCTGGCATCTTGATTTTGAACTTTCGGCCTCCAGTACTATGAGAAAATAAATTTCTGTTGTTTAAGCTACCAGTATATGAGAAAATAAATTTCTGTTGTTTAAGCTACCAGTCTGTAGCATTTTGTTATGGCAGCAAGAGCACATGGCAAAGGGGAAATAAAATTGCAGATGGAATTAGAGTTGCTAATCAACTGACTACAGAATGAAGAAATTGTCTTGGGCCACCTAGGTGGGCCAATGTAAGCATAAGAGTCCTTTAAAGTAGAAGGAGGCAAAAGGAATGCAATCCTAATGATACCTTAATTTTAACCTAGTGTATCAGTCAGAATTCTCTAGTGGGCAGAACCGACAGAATGAATATATAATAATAAGAAAGAATTTATTAATTAAGCTTGTATGGTCAGAGTTTGGCTGGTCCCACAATGACTATCTGCAGGCTGGAGAATTGGGAAAACCAGCAGCTGCTTGGTCCAAGAAGCTGGAAACTTCAGAACAAGAAGGACCAGTGCAGTCCAAGAACCAGGATGAAGGCTGTGAAGACTTTGGAGAGTCACTGATGCATATTCACATTCAAAAGCTAAAGAATTAGCAGTCTGATGTTCATGGGTGATGTCCATGAGTGATGGATGGCAACAGGGAAAAAAGTATCCACATAAGAAAGGAGCTTGCTCATGTGTGTGACCTTCCGCCTTCTTCCACTTTTTGTTCTGCCTGGTCTCCAGTGCAAAGGTTGCATGGTGCTACAAAGATTAGGGTAGGTCTCCTCCATTGGATTCACTGGTCCACATGCCAGTCATCTCTGGAAACACCCTTACAGACATACCCAGAGTGAGATTTATCAATTTTCTAAGCATCTCTCAATGCAGTTGACAACCAATTTTAACCATCACATCTAGTGAGACCAGTGCCAAACTTTTAATCCATAGAACTGTGAGATAATAAATTCATAGTTTTTAAGTCACTAAATTTGGAGTAATTTGTTACAACATCAAGAGAAAATCAATTTTAATCTGTTAAGGTATTACATCTATTAATACTTTAAAAAATAATATTTTGGAGGGCTGGGGTTGTGGCTCAGTGGTAGAGCGCTTGCCTAACACGTGCGGGGCCCTGGGATTGATTCTCAGTACCACATAAAAAGAAAATAAAGGAATTGTGTCCAACTACAACTGAAAAATAAATATTTAAAATAATAATAATATTTTGGATATATATACATTTTGGGGATTCATTATTTCCTAAAAGAAAAATTGACATAGAGAACAATTAGGTGACAAAGTATGTTCTATCTATATCCATGAAAGTTGCTGCTAAGAGAGCACTGGGTAAAGTGAATCAAAAAAAAAAAAAACCATATAACTTTCATTTTTACTCCATTTTATTTTCTTGGTCAAAATCAAAATTCACAATAAGCAAAACTATTACAAGACTCTGGATTTAAATTTAATTTATTATTTAAATAGAGTAAAATTTGAGATAACATTAATACCTGCGTACAAAGAAGTATGGAATAAAAGCTAAGTCTCACCATTATCTATCATTACTTTTGAAAGTGTAATGTGTAGTGTGTGTGTGTGTGTGTGTGATGTGTATGTGTATTCATAGTGTATTTGTATGTGTGTGTGTGTGTGTGTGTGTGTGTGTGTGTGTGTGTGGCTTATCCAGGGATCTTTGGGGGAACCTCTGTGTTTCAGGACTCCCAGCCACTGAAAGCAGCTTCCCCATTCTCCCTGACTCTTCTTTCTTGCATAGTCTGTTTTTATTAGTTGTTAAAGAAACTAGCCCCCACTTTCCTTCACAGTGAAGACAATACTATCTATGCTGATATCTGGAAAGTCCTTTCTTATTACTGACCAACTTTTTAAATACCCACAGTTCCTCATGTTTCCTTATCTCATGAGAAAATAAAACAAGAGTGGTCATAGTCCTGGGCCCACATTCTGCTTTTCTCATAGGAAGGAGAATAATTTCACCCTTCAACTCTCTCTATTCTTTGACCCTCTGTGCTATTTGTAATATGTGTCAATTGCTTGCATTTATTCTTTAAAAATACCTTTCTAGGCCAGGCACAGTGGTACAAACCTGTAATCCCAGCAACTTGTGAAACTGAGGCAGGAGGATTCAAGTTCGAAGCTAGCCTCAGCAACTTAGCAAGGCCCTAAGCAACTTAACAAGACTCTGACTCGAAAAATAAAAATGGATTGGAAGTGTGTCCCAGTGGTTAAGTGCCTCTGAGTTCAATCCCTGGTACCAAATAAATAAATAAATAAATAAATAAATTAAATTAAATTAAAACTTTTCTATCTATAGAACCCCTGAGACTTAAGATGATTGATTATATTCTTGTAGGCAGATGTAAATATTGCAGCTGTGCTTTTTTATTTTATTTTTCCAGTAATGTTAGATATTTTTAGCAGTGATTAGAACTGATCAGTGCTGTGAACAGGCTTAATGATGGTATCTTAAAATTTCTTAACTCTGTACTTACTGTATAAAAAGGGTAGCATGAAACAATGATCTGATTCAGAACGTCTCCCCCTAATTTTTACAACACACATATTCAATTTTGAGAAAGAATTTGGCTGAAGTATTTAAGCTTTTATGGTTTTGAGTTGTTTAAATGTTGATACATATATATTTCCAAATATGACCTCACTGGAGAGTCAGAGTATTTGGATAATAATTAAACAAGGCTTATAGGATTTTTTAAAAAGAAGCAATCCATGCTATAACCAAATTTAAAAAGGAGCATTTGTGTAGAGAGTTACTTGACTTACTTTTACTGGTTTCTCTTCTCTGACAATTGGCCTACAATTTCATCATTTTTTTTTTCTGTTTGTGCTTTTGGGCAAATGAGCATGTGTTCAGGCTCAATCATATGAACATTTAAGATTTTGTTCTCTGTCATCAGTCATTCATAGAAACCACCTGGGTATAAAAAAAGTCTACATTGATGGTTTCATTTGATTATGATTTTGCATTATCCAACTACTAAATATTTGTTAAGTACCTTTGTTCATCCATTGCATCTCAGCCTGGAAAAGGAATAAGATTTTACACTAATAATTCCTAATAATTAGGAACATTAATTATGTGCTGGGCACAATTTCCTATAGCCCCATGA